TATTATATATTATATTAATTTATATATGCATATATATATGCATATATTAAGAATATATTTGTTAGCTAATTTTAAAATCACGATGTCATAGTCAAAACCAGCAAAAGAATGCGGAGAAGTAAAGTGTGTTGGTCTTACTGATGCTGAGAGGAAGGCTATAGTAAATAAACACAATGAATTAAGACAGAAGATTGCATCGGGTAAAGAAACGAAAGGAAAACCAGGTCCGCAACCAAAGGCGGTTAGCATGCCAAACGTGGTAAGACATAATACATGCATTATACATTAAATAAAAAATAGACGAAAAAATATTGAACAAATATATTCTAAACTTAGTTTAACAATTAAATTATTATTTAAATTTTTTAAAAAGAAGTAAAATTATGATTAACTTAATAACAATGTCTAATAACAATGTAGAATTTTTAAGATACAATCTTAAAGTACTTTGAAATTACTTAAGGAATTTTAAGAAAATGAATAGATAATGGAATTTGATAGCCTCTTAAAAGATCGTGATAATGTTGAGAATATGTGTATACAAAGTATCCAGTTATTCATTACATGGACCAAATAAATCATGCCTGTATTAACAGTAAATTATATCATAGATTGTGTAAGATATTATAAATAAAAAAATTTTTATTTTTTTTCGTGTTTTACATCTTTTGACGCTAATTGTAATAAGTATTTTTTAAAATTCTGCCAACAGACTTTTAACATTTACCTAAAATGAACTCAGTCTCTCGTAATAAGAGACTTTTCCTCTATCTATAAAGAGAAATGTATAAGTGCATTATAGATTTTCTTAATGTATAATTCTCACGAAGAAATTCGAAAAGTGAAATGATTTAATGTACTATGCAATACAGGAAGGATATACATTTGAATAAAATATTTTTATTTTAAATTAGAATTTATATACACAATATAATGATAGGTATATAAAATTATATGAATAGACTTTTTTGGGTAACTTTTAGGTAACAGACATTGAACTTTATGGCCCTTGTATACATGTGTATATAATTTACATATCTAAAACACAAACACACATACGTGCGCACACATAAAATTATTATTTATGTAAATACTTGTGCATATATGTACAATTTTTTTAGATTTGGGATAAAGAACTAGAAGAGGTTTGCCAAAGATGGATTAATCAATGCAAATTCGGTCATGATGAATGCAGACATGTAGGTAAATATCGATTTAATGTAAATTATGTATAAATATAATAGTAAAAATGTATTATGATGTTTACATGATAATAAAATATATAGCTCATTGGTAAATAAATTTTAGACCAATAAAATTAATTAATAAGAATTAAAAAATTAATTAATAAGAAAAAGAAGATTCTTCGACGTTTGCACAAAATGAGAATGAATTTTGCAGTGTTTTAAAATTTTTATTACCATCATTAAATTGACGATCAATGTAATTTGTATTGTTATTTCCAGTTTCAGTTTATAATTGTGTTTCAAGTTCGAATCGGCGAACAGTTTATAGAAATAAAAAAAATGTATTTGCAAAGGACCCTGCAATCTTATGTAAAATGAATCTCAGTCAAATTGACTGCAATTTTACTATAATGTAGATCATGATGTCCTGATCAAAAATCCTCATGGTCACAAGGTCCAAAAATGGACAGTTTTCGAGATAAATTAAATGTCAAATATTAGAAATATGATTTATAATTCCAACATTTGATTTCTCTCTCTTCTTCAATATCTCGAAAACTGTCCATTTTTGGATCTTGCCTGAGGACTGAGTTAAATCCACTTTTGATTAGGACATCATGATCTACATTATAGTAAAATTTCAGCCAATTCGACTAGGATCCATTTTACATAAGATTAGTGCAGGATCCTTGTATAAACATTATCACTGACATTTTTTTCAACTAAAAATAAATTTTTTTTCTCTTATTTAAATAATTCTAAAAAATAAACTGATTTATCTGTTAATAAATAATGTATGCTACAGATAGATTTATAGTTGGTCAGAACATGGCCCAGGCATCCTCTACGGGAAAAAACACAGCCACTGTGGAAAGTATGATCTTATTATGGTATAATGAAGTAAATGATTTTAATAATACTAAAATTGAGAAATATGAGTAAGTATCTTTCTAAATTTTTTAATTAAACACAGAAATTTTACATATTAGCAAATATAAATTAATTCTTTAGATAGCATCAAGTAAGATATATCTAGATATAAAAAATAAAAATAAGTGTAAAGATATCTATATATAAAAAATAGCAGCATGTAATGGTGTTATGATATTATTCATAGACGTAAAATTGAAATTTTTTTCGGAAAGGAAGGAGAATCTATTAACCCAGGGATTAACCGGAATAAAAAAAAGGGAGGGATTTTATTATACTATGAAAAGAATTTTGTGTTGTGACATTTACAACAATTTTTAATGTTAATAAATTTTTTTAGTCGAATTTAGTCATGGAAAATTTAGTTAGAATACTCTGGGTTCATTCAGTATTACATTCTGAGCAGTTCAGTATTCAGTGAGCTTTTACACTTGATATTCTGTTACATCCAAAAATATAGATTGGATAGGTGTATAGGTCAAAAATATAGATCAAATAGTGCAAAAGTTCACTGAGTGCTTAGTGAGCGATTGTAATACTGAATGTATTAATTAGAATAGAATATATTTTGTTTTTCACGGTTTTTTTTAAAAACCTTATGAAAATTTTCCCTATGTGTCCCTATGTATTTTATCAAAATTTGAACTAACAGAAGTATTAAAAATTATTTCTATGGTCTTTAACGAGAAGAAAAGAATATTTTAGATATGTAATAGCAAAAATTCACACAAAATCAAAAGTAAAGTTGTTTTTCATAATTAAAAATGAAAGAGAGGAATTCGATAGAATATGTACATAGCTAATTGATCAATTCAAAATAAAATATTCTCATTAGTAAAGCAATGAAAAATTATTAGGCATCGACTAAACCATGTGAATGGATGTGCTATCAGAATGTGCGCTAACGAGACCCTCTCAAAATGAAATAATTAATAAAAAATTTCGGGGGTTGAACTCCTACCCTCCCCTCCCCCTTGATATGTCCATTATACTTAAAAGTAAGAGTATGTAATTATAATGCTTTTAATACTTTGAATGCTACTCTTCGAAGAGCGTAGAGTTTATTAATAAAACTTCTATTACAAAATAGGTTAATCAAAAATGATTATATCTTCTATTGGCAATCCATCGGATAATTTAGACAAATATTTTTATACAATATTTTATAATAAAATTTATCGATTTTTAGTCATATACAAATAACAGTTTTAAATTACTATACTACAATAAGATTTTAAATATACATTATTTCTGTTGATCACAGCCTTGTCTCTTTTGTCTTTTTAGATATGATGGTATTAATTAAAATACTTCCGAAGGTTAACATTTTTTAAAACATATATAAAATAATTTATTTATAGATTTGAACCAAAGATAGGTCACTATTCCCAACTGGTCTGGGCTAAATCAACAAAAATTGGCTGTGGAAAAATAGAATTTAAGGACTCATCGAACTGGAATAAAATAAATCTATGTTGCAATTATGGTCCACATGGAAATGTGAACGGTCAAAAAATATATGAAGTTAAAAAATAAATCCGATTGATGATGTAAAAATGAATCCGATTAAAGATGTAATAAAAGAATAGCGATATATGAAAAACAATAGGAAGTCAAATCAAATGTTACAATATATATGTCTTGTCGATAGAAATAGATAATTGCAATTGTCATAATAATATTAATGATGGAGAACAAAAAACTATATTTTTTTCTTTTTTTCCTTTCTCTTTTTCTTTTCTCTTTTTATTTCTTTTTAATGCATTTAACATCTTTTTCTACAAGTTTTTCTTGTCATATATGTCTTTCTAACATAAGACAAAAAATAACAATGTATGGAATTTATGCTGTTTTAATGTATTTAAAAATAAATATATGCAATAAATAAAATATGAATTTTTTAACTCTTAAGATTTCAATGTGTGTTTATGTATATATGTAGTTATATTATTCTATATATTAAACAAAATAAAAATCGAAGAATGTATATTTAATATTTTAAGTTATAGTAATTATAAGTAAATTATAATTAAAAGTAAGAGTATGTAATTATAATGCTTTTAATACTTTTAATGCTACTCTTCGAAGAGCGTAGAGTTAATAAAACTTCTATTACAAAATAGGTTAAGTGATGATTATATCTTTTATTGGCAATCCATCGGATAATTTAGACAAATATTTTTATACAATATTTTATAATAAAATTTATCGATTTTTAGCCATATACAAATAACAGTTTTAAATTACTATACCATAATAAGATTTTAAATATACATTATTTCTGTTGATCACAGCCTTGTCTCTTTTGTCTTTTTAGATATG